TTCTGCCTGATTTCGATCGGAGTAACCACTTCAACCGCCATCTCTTCCCACCCAACACTCCTCAACGTGTGTGGTCGAATTCGGTGGGTGGCGTTAGAAGAATAGCTTCGCCGCTTTGTAGCCACAACCTAATGGGACAGATGTACCGACACACATGCACACAACAACAGGAAACCTCAAGATCTCCTCAAGTGTGAATGTGAGGGAAATTCAATCGGAAGCGCGGTGCGATGAAGAGGAGTAGGAGCAGGCTGCTCTTTCACACCCGGATTTGCGTGAGTTCGATTTCACGACAGTCGAACACCGTTGCTAATCAATGCCTTGTCTCTCTCTATCCCTGTATGTGGGAGAATTGCCGACATTGTTCGGTCAGGATTTCCAGAAACTATTGTATTTGGTCAACAAGTCATTCCCTCTTTTTCCCTGTGGTCAGAGACGGGCGACCTTCGGAGATATGCGCATGCAAAAGCTGATCGAACTCAGTATCCAAATGTCCATCCATGCTAGCAACGGATTGGCAGTAGAACTAAAGGGTATTCTGTCGATGGGAACTCGATGAACATGTATCATGTGCGAACGGAGATGATTTTGCACCCAATAGCTACGTGTGCATTTTTCATCGTATGTTCTTCTCTCGTAGCCTTGTCACTTAGTTCGGAAAGCGATTAAAGTTGGAATTTGAACCAAAACTGGTGGAAGGAAATTGTATTCTACTGGTCTTGTTCCCGAAGCGATTAATTTGCATCACAAGGAGATATTGCAGGCAGCAGACGTGGTAGCAACCGTTTCAGCTTCTACTGAGAAACATTCCCAATTCATCCCTTCTTCTAAATTTTGATCAAAATTTAAACTTCCATCTCCTTACTGTAGTCTGTCATTATTCTCCGCCCTGGTACATGGCTTATACTTTCGGACTTTCGCTCCTTACTGGATGGACATTTTTTCTATGATAAAAGCTCGCCCTCCATATTGACTCTTTCGAAGGCAGACTATTCAAGAGAGACCAAACATCCCTTCTATCCATCCCCCAAGAGAGACCAAACATCCCTTCTATCCCCAGTGCTCTATTTGAGATTGCCCCCATATATATATATATATATATATATATATATACCTTTGCTGCTGTCCTATTTCTTAATGGTGTACTCTGCTTTGACTAAAGTACTGCTACCTATCTGATGGCATTTTCCCCTCCACTTGGAGTTTTTTCCTCCTCCAATACTATCTCCATTTCTTCGAACTTAGAACACAAAATAGCGATTCCTCTGGTTCATTGTTTTGTTCTTTTCTTGAAACTTTTCCTCCTTCCTGTATAATATTATTCTCGTTGTTAATAGAACAACTGCATCCGTTAGTCTCGTGTATCCCTGATGCGTTGGGAATGGAGGTTGCCAAGTAAAAAGCAAGCCTCATTGTATTTTATTCTCTTCCCGATAATTTGGTGAGATGCCCAAACGTTACTGGAAAAGGCGATCGTTGATTAATTTGATGTCAATCAGAACCAAAGACGCCCACTTACAGCAGCACAAGCAGTAGTGGTAGTTCCGCCCAAATCTTGCCATTCAAACGTGGTGTGTAATCAACTTGTTATTATTTACACTGACAACACCTGTCAATAAACTGTCATAAGAACTCTGTATGCCTCATCTCCTAAGACAATTAGTGTTCTGGGACATGGGCGATGTGGGTGTGTGAAGTGGAGGGCTAAATACAATGAGATTATGGGTATCTGCATAATGTATCACCCATATTACCTCGGTCTGACAACTCAGTCCTTAATAAATCATTCAGGCGACACCCAAATATCCGGCGTTTGATAAACTACTGTTCCCTTTCTCCCTAGGTTGCAAGTCCGAAGAGCCACAGTGTTTTCCGCTTAGTTGAAATCAGTCTTTGAACAATTAAGCCCAGATCACTCACCCAGTGTCAGTAAAGAACACTAGAGAATGGGATATAAGTCTGTGCTAGTGTTTGTTATCCTATCACGAACAAACCTGTTGTTTGATCGGTGTGGCACTACTTGATAGCCCTTGGTTTCGAAGCACTTATATGCCTGTTCTAAGATAAAACAGTTACAGTTTCGCGTAACCCATGGACTTTGACCATTTCCCTATCCTTACTGTGATTTCGGAATTGTTTCGACAGTATAACAAAACTGGCTCAAAAACGATAACTCAAGAAACCCATTTTACCTAACGATTTCAGCCTTATATTAGACCAGTCGCTAGCTCCTTGTATTCGCCCCCTGTCTTTGAAAAACAAAGCATATGTTGTCTAAGTTATACACGTTTGTCTTTTGTGGTCGGTTGACACCTTTCTGTATTCACCATCTTTCGCTTGGAGAGCACCTATCGCCTATGGAGGGGGTCTCTTTTCCCAACCAGTCAGATCAGACAGGCAGCCGCCCCATTTGTCTTTGTCTCTTCTATTCTTCTCAATCCCGACAGTCATTTTTCCGTCGTCGAATGTGTGTGCCCGTTTTCCACATGGGAAGGCTAGAAAGCAGTGTCACCGTGTTTATTTTAAGCCATCTTTCCAAGCTATGGTTACTCGTAGCCGGAATTTATGGAGCAGTTCATGACGCATAAAAAATCCTCGTTTTCATCTACGACCGCTTGCTTGTGGCAAAGAGTACAAACTTACATCCGTGCCGCTTCTATATTAAAGCTTAATTCGAATTTATGACGTGGTCACGCTTCGGTACATAGAAAAACCATAGCTTTTCTGTGCACACACATACGCACATCCATATAGGCTCCTATTCACTCCTCCAACCCGAATCCAATGGGTGCGTGCGGTGTGGAGCGGCACTGCGCGGTGCGGTAAGCCGCACTGTGTGATAACACACAAATCGCAAACGCTTAGATGTTACTTGATTGTTTCGGTTTGGCGGCATTGTGGCAGCCGGTCGTCGGTCGGTCGACTTGGCAGTTCAGTTCAGTTTAGTTCAGCTCGGTTCATTTCTTCTAATCTCCCCGACTACCCCGCCACGCATACACAGAGCCGTCGTGTTTCAGAGCGCAAGCGATTCACAGTGTATAATCACTGTCGGCCGCTTCTCAGTGGAACACCACTTTCTACTTCTGTGTGTGTCGGTGTGTTGTACCACTACCACTTGTCTAGGTGGCTCGTTTTTGGCGGTGGTTTTGTTTTGGTGTGCACGTACGTTTCCCCATGTCCGAATTGCTTGGTTTTATCTGGTTATTGCTTGGTTGACAGGTCCGCTGGTTTGTTTTTTTTTTTTGGTGCGGGGCTCTGATGATTACCGCCTAATAGGCTTTCGAAGAAAGGGAACGTGCCATTGATAATAGATTCTGTATAAAAGGAGATTATCTCCTCGTTTGTTTATACACTTCAGCGAGATTTCGGGGTTGCAGAGCTTCTATCTCCTTCCGTCAGTGACTTGCCAATCTTTCCGTCCAGTCCAACAATAAAGGAGCATACTTTTCTTGCCGAAAACAGAGACTTATGTTGAGCTTCGAATCAGGCAGGTTACTTCCACCTTCGGCACATAAAATATTAGAGTGCACACAAAGAGTATAGGGTATTTCCTGCCTTCTTGGTGCTCTTTGAAGTTCCTCAGTTACCTCCTGTAATCAGCCTCTTAGTGTTATTCACCCAAATACGTTGGCAAGGGCAAATAACCAGGCTCCCACTTCAGAACCACGGTGTTTGCAATGTGCGAGCATCCGAACTATCGGTTTTGAGGACGCTTTCGAACTTGAACGTTTCGTTTAGTTACGGGTGCAGGAAGATCCCCGAAAGGGAATCTCTCATGTACTGGCGAACGTTCGGTGATTTGTTAACCAATCCCTTAGTACGCATACGGATGAGAGGCAAGTCGAATTCGGAACTGCAAAGCACGGTTAGTCTTCTTTGATCAATGTGTGCGTGTGTGCATGCAATCAACTGAAACTGGTGACTTGAGCCAGTTAGTCACCTAAAGCTTGTGTGGACCTGGCACTGACAATTCCTAGCCACCTTGCAAGGATCCGAACTGAGGTTGATGGTAGATAAGTGAAAAGTGCGATTTATTCCCCTCTCCATTATGTTCTTCTGTCACGATTAGTGATAACCATGGACTGAGAATTTGAGCCGTATGAACGGAACTTGGAAGTTAGCTTATAGACTGATCGGAGATTCACTTCGGGGGTTGTGTTAATGAGCGTGTTTTAGGTCGCATATGCTGCTTGAAATAGTCAGTATCCTCCATGATATTGTACAGAGAGAGTCGTGCACAAGGTGCTATTTATTACGTTGTTGTAGGACGTGTGGTGGAAATGAGGTTGCTTGTTAAATACATACAAATGCAGATAGCAAACCTTGCTCGTTACTTTCGATTGTCCTATTGACCAACAGTTACAGCTGTTGATGAGTTCTGCGTCGAAGTTGCTGCCACCTCCGAATAAATTCGAGGCAGCCACTGAAGTTCTGACAAGAATGTGATCGGATCCCGAAAACCTCATCAGCTGGATGCAGAGTTCAGACCAGCAGCCTTTTTGTTTGCTAATTCAATCTGTCTCAAGTGACCTAACGTACACATCAATTGAGTGTAGAACTTTGGTTCTAGCAAGCTGCTGACATGTACAGATAGTCATCTGACCAATGATGAACAGTCGCGGGAATCCTCCGCGAGGATCAACGATTAAATCAGCGGCCAGTTAAAACCAAAGTTTCATACCTCACTGAGCAGACATGGACGTTTTTTCCCCACCTCCTGAGCTTCTTCGAGTCTATCTTCCTGACTTCTTCGACAGCCATTCGAGAATCATGATGGTAAATTAGCCAATAAGTTTTTTATAATTGTACGCTTGACGCGGTCTGGTCTGGACAAATGTAGTCCGAAATATTGTGAACATTCAAGAAAGTGTCACGGATTATTTCTGACCTCCGTGCATCCGAATTAGTGGTTATCACTATGGAGGTTCAGTCTGCGATAAAATTTGAACTCATCGCCGTCTTAGTTCTCAATCTTTGTTGATCACAACCGACTTTTTCGATCACACGTTCAGAGCTCCAATAAGCGCGAATTTTGCGCCAGGATGCGGACTGACTGTAGGATCACAGGATGAAAAACTAAAGTGATTAAAATGCTTTTCGAGAAATACATTCATTTGCAAATCAATTTGGTTTTCACGGAAGACTTGTGAGTAGTTTTCTTTATGAAAATATGCTGCGATATCTCGAATATCGTGCCAACTGAATCATTAGGCGGCCTGTGTGCAGCACATTCAGTTGGAGGACATCATAAACGAGAGATTCAATTGAGTCTCCCGTGAAAGCCAAATTGATTTGCAAATGAGTATATTTCTCGAAAACAGTGCAATTTGGGTTCAAGTAGACCATAAGGTAGACAGAAACTCGGGTACTGCGCCTACCTGATGAGCCCCAAGAAGGGCGAAACCGGTCGTGGGCTGTCGAAGAGTCTTCAGCAACCTTGTGGGTAGTTTCCTTTATGATTAAAATGCTGTTTTCTACACTCATTTAGTACCATTGAAACGACTTTTACAGTTTCATCATTACTGTAATTTTCGCAAAAACGGATCATTTTGGGAGCACCAGATCTAATAATTGATGTCAACATTCTCATGGTTGTTTGCTTGATGCACGTGAAATTTAGCTTCCTATCCTTGTTTCTACCTGGCCGCCAAAACCACATTCACCCAATTATAGACTCTACTGAAATTTTCTAACATCTCTCCATTTGTTCACACGGTATCCGATTACATTGTGCAACAGATTCGTGCGCTGAAGTTACTTTCTTAGTCCCTGTGTAACACGATAGCTTGCATCATACACAGTGATTTAGTCCGTATCACACGTACACTCATTTCCAGGCAGAATTTAATCCAACGAACAATCCGAAATGGATAGTGTTTCTCGTGAATAATTGCAGGTTCGATGCTAGTCAGTTTTTCACTGTCTGACCGAGCCGTAACGCTGTGTTTGGATCAGTGTCGAGAAGACTATGGTTGTCTGGTGATCTGGAGATTTCGTCTTCAGGCCCAAATCAATCTCACGGTTGAAAAAATGCGGTGATACCTGAGCACGCAAATGACCAAATCTTCAATGTATAATCAGAATACAGGAATAAACTTGTAAAATTACCCCGTTCCTCTCACCTGACTTGATAGGTCAAGGTTGATGATGGATGGATGATCAAGGTCAGTTAAGTTAGCCTTGTCAGAAATAGACCGTTTAAAACTGAAAACCCTCGAAGGACCTCATCCTAATTAGATAGAGCCGAGACACAGCACTGTGGACGAGTGACACCTCAAGGCTGAGGGGAGACTTAAAAACACCTCTGCGTTGCTACAGAGCTGAATGTCAGTAGTTCGGGCTAACGCTCAGATGCTTCCGGACATCGCCAGTGTCGCTGGCAGCTGTTGGGTGCGTAATTCATGTTGATTTGATTGATTCTCGATTGTTTTTGTTTGTGTGGACAAGATCAACCGGTCAGCTCACGAGCCGGTACTAACCGACCGGCGTATGTCAACAAATATTTCATAATATGTCGAACTCTCACCTCAGGTCTCTTCTCAAAATGCAGTCGAATAAACAATAATTCGAATATAACAACGAGCTTTATGTTTTGATCTGCATGCCGACGGTACTATGCACTATTATCATCATTAGTATGAAATGTCTCCTGGGTAGTTATCAAACGGACTCTACAAGCTCACCGGATTTAGGTTGCTGATCAGGCAAATGAATTTATCCAGCTGGTCGCTGAACAAATCTTTAAATATGATTTTTATTTTCGATCCCATCCGAAATTGTAGCTTCGCTTTACACTGTACAGGTGTCAATCGCATGCCATACCGTACGGCAGAATTGTTCGGCTTGTCTTTCTCATGGAACTAAACCATGGAATGAAATATCGTCGAACAGCAGACACCTTTAGAGCCGTGTCGGACTCTCAGTAAATCCTAATTGTATTCCGACTGTATTCAACCGTACCGAAGGTGCTCACTTTCCGGGTGATCGGAGTGTGCATTTTTATAATTGTTCCACCTCAGTGGTAAACACCTTCCTGCTTCCAATAATATGGATATGTTGATCGCTCTGAAGAAAACACCGTACTACCTTCACATATCATCGTAAACGACAGTCCGACTTTACCTCGCCTCCTAATGCGGTGGCTTGCGAACCCAGTTTTCTTTATCATGATGTTCTTTGGCCTTCTTGGCCTGACTGAATCCGGTGGAATGAAGTTCAGACCCATGTAACCCACGGTTTCGTTGTAACGCTCAAGCCTGACAACCCCGTCAAGATGACAACTTTTGATCACAAAGTGAAGTCAACTGACATCAGAAACACCAGGTTGCGTCTCACTCTAATACTTCGCACAGTGGTTTCACTTGAACTGTCTCTCGACGGACAAACATTAATTCGCTAAAGAGGGAACAACATTGAGAGGTTATTGTCCTCTGCGGTAAAATCCCAAACCAAATTGTAGCTAACGGGGAACGGTCTTGTGAACCTTCCTTCCTCAAGCGGTCTTTGTGATGGTTTGCCGTACCTGGCCGTCGCTTTACTCCTCCACGCGCTTGTCGACTTTGAAGTTAAGTTACTGCACATTTTAGGACAGTTAAATACCTGTAAACAATTTTCCTGCAGAATTCTTTGTCATAGAGAGCCTCTATTTTGTGTACTTGATCATTGACAGTTGCTTGTTCGACCTGGTCATCTACACCGTCATGTTTCGCTCTTCTTTACACTACGATCTACGATCTGATCGACTTGATCACCTGACCAGCGCATTGTGAATTAAACTGTACTTAACATATTCTAATGGTTCTGTGTATAAAATTCGACAAGGGTTAGCACATATTTAGGCTCCGCTTAGACTGTATTGGAATTCTGGTTTCCTTGTACATCAAAAGGAAACTAAATGGAAATGACGGTTCCTATCTAATATTTTCCATTACACGTTTCAGATTCTATCGGAAAGGTCATGTTATAAGGCGTCTGTTTTCTAAATTATTCCATTCTCATTCGGTATTTTTCACAACCGTGTTACAAATTTTACACGGTGTTGCGGCAAAAACCGGCACCGCGCGGCTTGTTCCGCTGAGGCCGAAAGCAAAACAGGGCACATGAGGTTTTTTTCACCTCAGTGGGATGTGCCTTTTCTTAAGGAACACCGGTTTTCTTTGTTGTAATCTTCTAAAACTTATGTGCGTGCAATTTTGGGCGCTCACCACGTTGATCATGACCACAAATTATGTTTCCCAGTTAGCGGCTGCTGTGCTATCCGCCGAATAGGAAGTTTTTTTCGTTTTTTGTCAATGATAAGAACTGACGGACAGAAGTCTTCTCCGTACGTGTCGTTGCTTGTCTGAACACAGTAGGTGTGTTTGGTGAAACGTGAAGAACATGGTATTTAATGCCCGGATGATCGCTGAGTGACAGGCCAACTCTTCGAACGAGACGGTCTTTTATTGTTTGGATTTTATTTTTCCAATTTATACCGTCGGAACTGCACTATTTTTCAAATTCCCCAGAGAGTACCAGTAAGATTTACTTTTCTGTAATTCCCCGTGACTGATGATCCATCCGGGCACTTTGGGCACAGCTGTAGTTGTTTCGACTCATTCGACATCCTTGGGAAATCTGGGCTCGGTTGTTCACAAATTTGACAGCAATCACAGTATTCTCGGAGAACAGGTTTCTTTGAACCCCAAAGAGGCTATAAAGGCCCGCCTTCTCTTTGTAGCCGTCTTATGGAGGAGTAATGTGTACCAGATATGAGTCTAAAGACCCATCACTGTTCGGCTTTTACGTTATCCGCATCTTAAGTTTCATATCGGGACAAATTTATTAAGATAAATCCAAGATCGTTATAAAACTCCTTAGGATGTAAGGCCGTTTCAGTGCGTACCTGCTATGCCACCCGAAAGAAGAATGAAAACTGTTGTACTGCCTAGTAGCCCAAGGCTAGACAGGAACAGTCGAGATACACAGGTTGAGCTCGAACCACGAGCCTTCTGATCAGTAACTTCGAGCCCTAACAACTGAGTTATCTCGAGTTCACTGTTCGGTTATAACTTTAAAGCTAGTTGTACGGGCAAAAGAAATGTCTCACGCGTGTCTAACATGCAGTATCAAACTTCACACAAATGCCTCAGGATCTGACAGCTCCACATCAAATTCAGGTTTTAATTGGAACAGCACCGTTACTAAGTAATTCTGTTGAGCTTATATGTATACGGAGATTTTGAATGGTTTTATAGAAACCCAGATATATACCATTCGAACAAAAGGGCAGACAACCCTGGGTGAGGTTCGACCCCATGACTTCTCGGCCCTGGGCCAACCTCCTGGCGATTGGACTATAACGCACACTTTCCTACATGACAGACTTCATATTTATATCTTACAGAAACTGCGGTGCGTCTCCGCACGGAGAGGCAGCAAATAATAGCCAGAACACCTGGTATTTGCTTGATTCTATTGCAAATTCTCACACAAGGGGTGACGAAAATGAAACACTTCATCAGCGCTCATATAATTTTGTTATGGGTTGTATCTCATACAGTGTGTTGTTCCAATTGACCAAGTGAACGTAAACTGCTCGCTCTCTAACACATCAGGTATCGTGTTTTTCTACGGAAATGTTTCCTCTGAGCAGGCACATAAACCCTCCAGTCTTCCCAGTACCCCTGGAAGCGTTGTTATTGAGTATGCATCCGTGTGAGAGGCTTTGTTGTAAACGCTGTGAACTAAATTGCAAACGTCACTAAACATGTGTTAACACAACAACATGATCACCACAATCCATGTATAGGAATGTAGGGATATTTTCAGTGATTTTGTCAGTTAGCCTGTCCGAACATCCATGACCCACAACCGCAGATTCATTTTGTTGGTGGACAGGTTTTTTACACCCCAACACACACACACACACACACACACAAACATCTATTCGATCACCGACTACTGACTGTATCGTGTCCTCACACCACCCACCACTGAGCTGCTGTCTGTCATATGGTCGTGCTTTCTCGTTGTGTCATTAGCCATGGAACAGATCACAGTTGTACCCACATA